TMMTTMMTTMGMMSCKWTWAAAAAAACATTGCAAAAGGGTACCTTCCAACCACTAGTACCAGGCTAATTAATAAGAGACAAACATTATTCTTGCTTACATTCAATGTTTTTTTCRGTCCATACTTGTCTCTGCACTGCACTGTCTCTTTCTCAAGTCGGACACAGAATCTACTAGGACGGAGGCCAGCCCAGTTAGCCAAAACAGGTGCATTCTTTAAAACAAACATYGGGAAATATTTCAAACTTGGGATAAAAAATAATACACAAAATTCTTATGAAAAACCACAACAGCAAATTGAATATAAAATAAATTTACCTTTATGCTAGGTACAATCCTACTAACACRAGCAATTATATTATTTGTATCTTGGGTTGTTGGATTTGTATTAAAATTGTTTAACTGTGCAGTGCCTCCAATAACAATGGACTCCATTCTGAAACACAAAGTACATGAATATGAGATGGATGGATGAAACAGTGTCTTATTATCATTTTTATGCATTCACTTGTCATTTACTAGATCTGGCTTCCTTTTGATACTCCAGGACTCGCAGGGAAAGAGAGTKCAGTATAACTTGCATGRGAATGTCAGCTTTGTGACCTCCAATTACATACATTTGTATGTGGTAATCACAAGTTTACAATTCTCTGTACAGAAAGATGGGATGGGATGTCATTACTATTCATACTATTCAAATGTCCCAGAATGCCAAAAAATTTGGTCTTAGCTTCATTGATGTCACCCTTTGATGCCGAAATGATTTACCAATTTTAAGCATAAGCAATCAAATCAAGGCCATAGCCAGAACAAAACATAGGACTGTACATTTTCACTTTCACTCTCATTGCATCCTTAATCAATTAAATCTGGTTTCAATCTGGTTCTCCTTGAAGAGGATCTTTTGMTTGAGGAGGTAAGAATGCACCCAGTATTCCCCCTGGCTATGGTCCCCATTGGTGATATACACTCACTGTGGAATGATATATGTAGATTGTCCCTTATCCCTCTCTTCTTCGACATGGTAAAGATACAAGTGTTTTATCCATGGTGCTTTAATCTGTTTCAATAATAATGAAAAGAACAATATTATCATAAACACCACTGATACCATGCTCTGATAGTTATAGTCAGTGGATTGAGCATACTCTTAAAACTTGTCCTCTGACTGGTTTGAGTMCAGTATCACCAATAAGTTGTCTGGCACCCATGCCAGCACAGTTCACAATCACATCATACTCAGACAGCTGCAGAATGTCAAAAATATTTCAATGCATTAGTAACTGATTTAATAAGGTAACTAATCAATCAACTGGCAAATCAAGACTGCAGGCTGTAAAAACATCTCTAAAAAACTAGGTTTATCTCCTTCAAACAGAATGGATTAGATTTGCTGGATAAGGATTTTTCATGGCAAAGAGAGAAAAATAAATAAATAAATTGATTAATCATTCATTTCATCAATTCATCATGTCGTCAATCAGTCATACCTCACTCAATGATGCAATATGCTGTTTTATAAAATCACCACCAAGGTTTCTCACTCTAACAAAAACAAGTTACGAGTAAAGTTTATTATTATAGAGCATCTCAAGAAAGGTATCCTGAAAGCTGAATAGATGTAGTTTTTTACCTCAACCCTCATGTTATTTAAAATGCAAAAAAGATATTCTGTTTTATGTACATTTTTCTATGCATTWTCTGAAAGTCTGAAATCTGTCAAGATTGCAACAACAGCAATCAAATATCATACAAAAATGACTTTTTGACTTTTGATGTTGTTGTTGTTGAGTTATTGCTAAGTTTGTTGTAGACTAGTTGTGCATAAGAAATGCAACATTTGAAACTTAATAGTASCACAGAACTAAAAGAGTCATTAAAAACTATCAGAAATGATTATGAATGATAGCCTCGAGCAATCCAAATTATAATGTACCTGTTCATTAGCCAAGGTATCAACAATGCGCCTTGTGAAATGATTGTATTGAATGTAACTCCAAATCTATGAAAGTATTGGAAATAAAATAAAATTAGTGCAAAGCCTCTCATTGTTATGTTCAGGAAGAAAGGACCATTGCTACTATTAATTTTAAGTAAACAGACTGCTTTACCTTGCAGGTTGAGCAGGAAACTCCTCTAGCTCTTGTTTAGTCATTCTTCTGTAGGAATACACCAAATCCTTCCAGGAATAATCCTAAGATAATGGCAAAATAAATGTTTGATATCCAGAATCAAACMACATTGGTAAGAGGTATCATAATACTGTGAATAATATAAAAAAAAAACATCAATAACTATTGAATAATATAGTTATTGATAGTTAATAGTTTGCAGTCTTTATATGCACTCCACATTTGCTTTCTATTATCAGAAAAAAGGTGTACCTTATCAATTGGAGTGTCATGRACACAGTAAGCAGTAATTAAGAATATCCCAAGCTTTGGGGCTTGTTCAGAGTCCAGTAAGGCTTTCATAGTTTTCAATGTGGTACCAAACCATTTTCTGAAATAATATCAGTTTTGTCTGCATATATTATTTGTAACTAGTTGTACTTTTTGCAGTTATTTTTATATGGTGGCTTATTATAGAATGTAACTCACGTTGATTTTGATACTGGAATTGGTATTATGCTGTAGTTTTTTTTACTTTTTTTTTATTTTCGAGGAATTTGCACAAATAAAATTTAATAAGCTTAAGCTTAAACATTTTTTAAAATGTTGTTTTTTACTTCCTGTGATATTAAAATATCACAGGAAGTAAAAAACAACAGCAGTCACAAGAAACAGGAAATAACAGCTAACTGAACTTTACAAATTCGGAAGACTATTTATACGAACATGTGACGTTGTTTTCGTTGCATGATGACTTTCCAGGAAATCTACGATTTCCTCCATTTCCTAGAACCATAGTGAATCGATCAGTTGAATTTTTAGTGATCAATATTTTAAAAGCACTGAGTCCATATCATAAGAAATCTTAAGTTATAATAATTCAAAATAATATCATAATTTAAGCTTTGGGTCAGATGAATTAGCCCTGATGCATCTCGTCAATTTAAGTTAAGCTTAACGTCTTACCTTTGCAGATAATCTGGCGTGTCTGCCATAACATAAGGCATTAGAAGACCTGCTGCACCATCAGAAGTTGTATTAGGACTAAATTCATCAGCAAATACTTTCACTTTGATACTCGGGTCCTTTTCTAAGATCGATAAAGCAGTCGTAACCCCTATGATTCCTGCACCGACTACAGCCACAGTCGCCATCTTGATTTCTGGTTACCCAGCAGTTGATATCTTGTGTTTCATGTGACGTCACAAATAATCGTGCAATATATATTTGCCCGGATCCAGGGTAGAAGTACCGGTGATGCTCGTCGTTGTGGTCTAGCTTCAGTACAAACTTCGCAACATTTGGCAGCATAAACAAAACCGAATCCAGACCACAATGTAATGCAAACTGTAACAATGCAAGCGGGACGAAAGCACTTATTTCAAACGGCACGACGAGGAACCCAGCCCTCTTTCAATATGGGAGTCTCTCGAGCAGTGAACCCCAAGAATGATTATTCGCACTACCGAAATATTTCCAGCTTCCTGGAATATAATAGATTGGAGTCATAAGACTTGAAGTTTTTTAAAAAACCGCTTAAAATATTTAAAAGATGTGAGATTTTTATAGAAATAAAAGAACTTGGAACCACGCGAATTTCCAAAACATTTTATTGATATAAACTCTTTGAAATCATGCATTCCTTGCACCTCGTCAAGTACTCATCTGTTTACAAAATTATTTCATCTAAACCTAATACTATAATATAATACTACTTTTTTAGGAATTCTATGAAAACCACACTTATGTGATAGTTTTTTCCTAATAAAAGATTGTTATTATTATTATTACTATATCAGACTAGACCGGATAACGGCTTTCGAGGTTTGCATAATTCTTTGTCTGATATGCGACGGCTGAATATCAGTCAAATACAGGCAGAATTAATGGACAGCCTTCGACCAATCACAAACGAGTAATATGGATCATATAAATAATAATTATTGATATCTACAAAGGACTTGCTTCGGTCGTCTATGTATTTTTTACACATCTACATGATTATATTAAAACATGAGTAGTATAAACAAAAGAGTTCTGAATATGAACGGAAGCCTAACTACTAGACCGCTACGACACGTAMAGGCAACGTATCTCAATCATTATTTTACAGTATCAATCACATTGATGTTGTAATAGATAACATAGCTGCACGCAATGAGTTATAGTCTTTGAACCTGACTAGCCACCTGCCTGCTCTATTCACAAGCGTTGTCCTTAATTTCATCAGTTTCAGCTTTGGCTCCACAAGCCTCGTTATGTAAGTCCATAATTGCTTTACTTGCAGCAAGTTTCAATATTCAAAGAAGCATAATTATTATAACTACCGCAATTTCTGTTGTAACAACCAATGTAGCTGCTTCCATATTTTTCACTTTTAATGAAAGTCTTACTTGAACCGTACACGTAAATACCCTTCAAGAAACCAGAACGCCTTTGAAACCCAAGAGGACAGGGACCATTAGCAAATATACAATAGTGTCCTCGTGGCCAGCCTTGGGAAAAATGATAAAATTTTGAAATTTTAACAATTTTAGGGGATAAGCTAGTATATTGTAGATGAAGAAGAAAGCAAGGAAGGATATAAACAGRTATAAAGGGAAGAACAATGAGAGAGGGTATAAGACGAAGATTGGGAAAGGGCAGCTACGCTGTAGTTTACAGAATGCAAGTACTACGTACAATAAGAAGACCAGGGCAAGAATGGGAAAACAAATTGGAGGAGAACATAATAGGAGAATAGTGACTTTTGATGAAGAAGGGGTAATTGCTTAAGGGATTGTGCAATATTTATGAGGAGGAGGGGGATTAAGAATCCTCCTTAAGAATCTGTTTGATTTTTTGCACTCATTTCCCCCTGATAAATATTGCGCAGTCACTAAGAAACGAGTTCCGATGAAATGAGAGGACAGAAGCGAAAATGCAACTGAAGGACAAAAAACAAAAACAAACGAACGAACAAAAAAACAAAACAAAAAAATTAACAAAGCAAAACTAATAACAACCGCAAAAAATCCCACTTACAACAAGAATTTACTCACGTGATCTCTTAGAAGCAGCCAGTCGTCTTGCATTTTCTGAGCCAGTTTGAATTATGTATAACTTATCATCCAGTTCTTTGAATCGCTGGTC